ATTCATGGCAGTATTTTACATCGCCTTCCACCCACTAATTAAAGTGACTTTTAAGACCCAAAACGAAAGTGAGAAAATCACTGTGGACCCATTCAGAAAATTTAAATAGAACAACAGATGTTCTCCAAATACTAATGCAACACACAAACAAATATTCTGAACACAGACAAAAATGAACATGTAGGAAAGTGAGACTTTCAGCTGCTTCCATTCACTGCTGCTCATACGAAATGAGCTATTCTAGAGAAACACTCGTTAGTATAAAAGCTAAATCTTGGAATATCACTGCTGGTCAGAATAGGAGCAAAAATCACAATGTAAATCTGGATATTGAGTTTTTCTCCTCATTGGTGGATAACAGGTAAACAACATACATAGTGTTTGCATGAGCTCTGTAAAGCCTGAAACAAGCAATGCTCTCAGATAACCTTTCTCCTGACTTCCTCTCTTCAATGGACAGATCGCTATTCTTTATCTTTGCCCTATAAACTCACATTCGAGCTGAGTACATAGCCACCTACTTTTGTCTCAATGTGGCCATTGTGTTACGCGTTTATGTGGGTTTTGTTGTTCTTTCCATAACGCTGTCCCTCTCTGGCTGCTTTCCGTTCCTTGCTCTGCTGCCTCGTGCCAGCTTTCTCTTTCATTCTTGCTATTTAACATTTGCAATGAATTTATGCCATTTGGGGGCAATGGCTTTGAAACTAGTCACAATAATCAAGCCTGATTCTTTGTTTGCAGACTGAAAGTCATACTGCCATATTTAAATGTTTTATCATGAAAGCACCGTTCTCGTGCTTCACTGTTCGGTCTGGACATCCGTTCTGATCAGGATTGTCTTTTTAGGATTTATGATTGTATGATGTTCTTTCACAATATTCACAACTTTGCGTCAGGAGATTTCTTGGATTAAAGAAACTGATTGCATAGAAAGTCTCATTCTTTTAACCCTCCTAGTGTTGCAACCCTGTTTCAGAACTGGTTCAGAAGTGAGCTGTCTCTCTTTGTTCTTTTGCATAAAAAGGCCTCCGCTGCTCTAACTGATGTCACTATAGCTATTTTTTACACATCCTTTTTAATGTAGCTTTGTTCAGTCAGATTTTACAAAGGTGCCACCTCTTCCTGCTTCTCTCTCTACCTCAGTGAAAGCGCTTCATCATTATTTTTTTTAATTCCTTCAATCTTTGGAACGGCAAACACTTATAACAACACTTCCAATCTGACGTTCAGTGAGTGCATTCGCTCATGTTGTGTCCAAAGCAGTGTTTTAAATGTAATTACCGTATTTTCCGGACTGTAGAGCGCACCTCACTATAAGCTGCATCTACAAAGTTTTCTTTTTAAAAAAATAAAAACAAACTGGAAACGTACATAGATAAGCCGCACCGGGCTATAAGCCGCTGGTATCTCCGCCACTCTCGGTTTTTAATAAATCTGCTGGATCTATTAAGGACGCAGCCCTGCGTCTCCAACGCCCAACCATGGATTCATTCACGCCGAGCTTAGCGGCTGTCGATCTGCACTGCCAGATCGACAGCCTTCAACTTAAAAGCTGCATCATGGTTGTGGCAGTATCATGCTGTGGGGCTATCTTTCTATATATGGAGAGGAACAACTCCCTCCAAATTTACCGTCACCTTTACTTTTCAGCCGGTTAAAACGTAAATGCAACCCAGCTTTTCAAATTGATCCAAAAGAACATCAAAATAGTTATTTTTTTAAACGGTAAGGCAAATTAATATTGGTATAAAAGTACTGAAAGTCTTAATCTGATGAATTTACTTTACACCCTAAGCACATTAATTTGTCTTTCCACAATGTTTCTGGTATTTATCTTCAAATCTCCCCACTTCTCTGCTGTGTTTCAACGTAATCGCCAGAACTGCTCAAGTCCCTGAAACATGTCCTCCATTTTGACCCTCGGACTCCATTTCATCTCACCAAGATGAATGGAGTCCGCTTTCTTCCTCCTCCGAGTGGGTGTTTCTGCTATTCAGAGCTTTGTTGTCATGGTTACCTCTCTCTCTCTCTTTTTGTTTTTTATCTGAATGTTGTGAAAGTTCAGCTTCCACTGACTCCGCGATACACCCCTTGTTCATCATTCATTGTCTGTTTTTTTTGTTTGTCTGTTTGTCTTTTAGAGTAACACATTCTGACTTTCGAAACGGCTTCGTCTTCATCGTTCTGTATCAACACCAGCTTGGGCCTGAGATGACTTGCGTCTGTCTAAGCACCCTTGCTGAACTTCCACTTCCTTTTTTATTTATCTAACCCTTCTGCTCCTTTTAGAGCGGTGCCGCCTTTTCATATTAAGTGACAAAAAAAAGAAAAGAAAAGAGAAAAAAAACCCAAAGCATAAATTCACACTGAAGCTTCTTTATGTGGTTACAACTTCTAACATCAGTCCTCACAGCATCTAATCTTAAATCGTGACCTTAGACGGAGTTCAGGCGGCTTCAGTGTGACTCTTCACAATCGCTTCAGTTTCCTTGTTGCTGCTGAAGAAGTGTCGGCTCGTCCGCTCACCTTCTTGTCTGAGCAGCTCGAAGCTTTGCCTCGCTAGTGTTGCACTGCAAGTGTTGATGATCCTCACGCGCTCGTTGCTGTTCAGGCGCTTGTACTTGATATCCACCCTGCTGACAAACTGGAGTGACAGAAGGCAGCGGTTAGTCTGACGGCGTTTCTTTTTAGGGGAAAACTGTTTCTGCTCCAGGTTCATTTTACAACCAGCTGCCTTCACTTTGATGCCGCCAGATAAAATCTAGAGCAGACAATTTGGCGATTTAATCTCAGCCTAAATCTAGACGAGAGATTGAATCAAAGAAAAACGTTCTCAGGTTGAACCTTTTAGCTGACATGCAAACCACCGTGACTGATGGGAAACTAAGGCGCAGCGTCACAGCGAACGCGCTCCCAATGGCGAAACACGGTGGTGGAAGCATCATGCTTTCCTTCAGTAGAGACACTGAAGCTAGAAAAATGGACGGCGCTAAATGCATGGCAGTCTGAGAAAGAAACGTGTTTAGAGCAGAGCTGCAATGCTCAAAAGTACAAACCTGAATCTTTTTCAGAATCTGTAGCAAGATTTCCAGATTTTTTATTTGTAAAAAAAAAAACACACACAAAAAAAAACATAAAACCTCGTCATACTGTCAGCACCAGACGTGTTTGGACTTTATTACCTGCAGGATCTGATTGAGGAAGATACTGGCTCTGGACAAGCGAGGGCTGGCCTTAATATCAGGAGGGGAGCCGGCCTCTTCTGGCTGTAAGCTGCTTGCCTAGGCACACAGCATCATAACACAATAAATAACAAATAATCAGTATTGATAAACGACACAGTAAAGATGTGGTGCAAAAAAAAAAAAAAAGAGACTGGGATGCAAGAAAGATTTTAGTAAAGACGCTGCAGATTGTCAGAGTTCAGTCTGAAAATGTACATGGTGTCAAAAGTTTGACATTTTTAGATCTGGAAAAGTTTCATAATTCTCTGAGCAGCTTAAACATTTGAGAAAAGACACAATTTGGGTGAGATTAAAAAAAAAAACAATTAAGTCGTTCATCTTTTAATTCATGATCTGCCGAATAGCATCCAACTAAATCTAGAATACTTCGGCTTTAAACAACAAGGTCTAAAAATGGCAAAATAAAATGGGTCAAAATTTAAATTCTGAATATCTTATTTATAGCTTTTTGTGCACTACTTTGCCAAATTTGCTTCTTCTTTGCCTTTCCTGCTGTAACATTTCCACAGGAAGCTATTAAGCAATGTTCAGACACATAAGAAAATAGACCTACTCCACCTACTTCTGTTAATTCACTTCTGCTAATTTACTTATCACTGAACAGCTTTGCACCAAAATGTGCATTAAAGACCTGTTGTCATGGTATCAACTTTACAGGCCACTCATGTCTTCTGGTTCTGTTTCTGCTCTGCATCTCCAGAACCAGAACCAAACATGGAGAAGCAGCATTCAGCTTCTATGTTCCTCTAATCTGGAACAAACGTTCAGAAAACTGCAAAACTGCGGAAAACACCAGGGTCCATTAAATCAAGGTTTAAGTCCCAGCTTAGGTTAAAAATAACTGGAACATTGATTAATATATTTGATGATGAATGTTGCTTGTTTGGCCATTATGTCATACAAATAAACTAAACTTAAATCAGACTTAAATTATTACTTTGTTGTTAGTTTGTTGTCGTCTCTGAGCGACAGCTAAAGAGATACATCTGGTGGATCCTCACCCTGCTGGTGCGGTGGCCTTCATTTTCTTCCTTCCCTCCTCGACAGACGAACTTCTGAATCTTTACCAGCAGCAGCTGCTGAGCTCTGCAGTCACACAAAAAAAACACTCGTAAAGCTCCAAAGATGCAAGGATTTAAATCAGCGCTGAAAACAAAGCAGAGCGGTGAGAAAGTAGAGGTCGGTTCTGCTGAAGGGGTTTCTTCTGTGGCTTGTGAAACTCAAGCAAATCACTTAATTTGTGATTCAGCAAAGGAGGCCGTTACATTTTCACGTCATCGTTTCGGTTCGTTGTTAGAAAAATGCTTCTTAAATTCACATGAGTCATTTTTGTAAAATAATTTGAAACAGTTGGAAAAAAAAATCTCAAATATTTAAGCAGGCCTGTCATGATGACTAATTTTGCTGGATGATTAATTGTTGCTGCACGATGATATTAATAATAATAATAATAAAAAAAAAATAATAATAATAATAATAATAGCTTTTGAGTCCATTTTCAAGTAATGCAGTGTTGATAGCATAAAATGAGAGTAGACCCTCTTCAAGATCAATAAACTTTCTAATGAAGATTTGACACTAGAACAGGAAGATATTTTAAATACCTAAAATAGATAAAACAATTAAAACGACAAATAAAATGGATTCTGTAGTTCCAGGAAACAAAACTGCCCTTCTAGAAAAAGGCTAGTGCAAAGAAATTTAATTGATCATCCGATTAATCTATTTATTGCAATAGGATTATCTTGAAAAGTTTTCCACGGGACGTGAGAAATATTTAGTCATAACCATCGATTCCTGCTACAGATTTTTCAATCGAACAGACAATGTGAGAAATCTTCACTCTCTTGAACCAAAGCGCCACACAAAGCTCTGCTCTGCACCTTTCAGACTGCCTGAAAGCGTCTAACTCTGAGTCCTACCGCGAGTTGCTGGGTATGGTGCCGCGCTCGGCCAGGTCCGTTCCGCTGTAGGGGTCGACGCGGGCGCACAGCCACTCGCAGCGGCCCTGGTGCCTGGTGTCCAGAACGTGCACCACCTCGTCGCAGCGCACGTTCAGGGAGCAGCTGTCCGACTGTCCGCAGATGTTCAGGTTGACTCGGATGTAGAAGGAGTCTCCAGACGCCAGCGTGCCGTCGGACAGGTTGCTCTGGAGCCGACGATAAGCTGGAGAACGGGCATGTGGCTTATTTAATATGAAGCCCAAAAACCAAGAAACATACTAAAACCCAAAGGATGCGCCAAAAGCTCGGTTTGTTTTCTAAATGTTTCCAGGCCGGCTCACCATTTAACCAATTTGTGATTCCATTTTGTATCTGAATCATGCTATTTCGTCTCTGTTTCTTAGTTGTACCTAAACCGTACAAACAGGCCATAAAATCAACCAACACAACGGCATGTTTCTTGAACTGAAAAGCTTTTCTTCTGTTGTGAAAAAAAAAAAAAAAAAAAACTATTTTACCAAGCACTGTCAGGTGAAATCGCTCAATCAGGTTTATTCATATACTGTGCACAATGCAGAGAGCTTGTAGGACAATCAATAACAAAGCAGGTCTGGGTGAAAAAGCTCTGCCAGGCAGAGACAACACTTGAGTTTATACCAGGGATTCAAAACAAGGGGCGAGACAGTCTGGCTCTGATGCAGCTGTGGGAAACAACTCCCAGCCTTGTACATGTAACCCAAATAGTTCTTTTGGTGAGAGTTCACAAGAATTTCATATAACATGGTCAGCTGATGTTAGCTTGTAGTAATTTTCCACCTCACTCCTTTGCCTGCACCATTTCAACTGTTTCCAGCTAGAGTTTGAGCTCTAGGTGGCGCTTATTAAGAACCAGGTGACTGAACTTGTGGCTAATGGTTCATTGATGGTGGATGTAATAAAAATGATGTTGCATAAAGAGAGATTCTTGCATTAGTTTGGCGTGGAGTGCTTTGGACAGTAACGTCACTGACTCGTTTTCCGTCACAGAAAAAACAAAACATAGCAACAAAAACACATTTGCATCCTCTTCTGAATCTAAACGGTCGTTGGCTGTGACTCACCGCGAGGGGATGCCGTTACCGTGTCGATCCGACACAAACACACGTACCGCTGCACTCTCTTCTTAAAGCCAGCTGCCGTTTATTTAAGCTTCTACAGCAATAAAAATGACTTACAGTCAAAACTGGCTCGATAGTGCAGCTTGATTGGTCCGGAGCAGTGCTGCAACGTCCAGTGGGCTTCTTCCTGAGTGCTGGTGTCCAGGGAAAGGCTCTGGTTCTCCCCTCTTACGGATCCCTCCAGCTGGTTAGTCGATCACAGAATAAACAAAGGTCAGAAACTACAACCAAGTAATTCCACTTTAACTTGGTTTGAGATGTTTCAGAATAAATCCTTGATGAGGTAAAAGATTTTCACCTCATATTTGACTCATTTAACTTTCAGAATGGAAATTAACTTCTTACCAGCAAGAGGTGGTGGCCTTCTCGCAGCCCTGCTCTCTCGGCGTTGGACCCAGCCTGAACCGACGAGATGAAAATCCCGCTCTCGTTGCCACCGACCAGCATGACGTCCTTCAAGAGGTTGTCGCCTTGCAGCGCCACCTCCTGCACCGGCTTGATGGTGGAGCTGATTCTGGAGAAGGAGGACAGAGACGGGCGAAACGGCCTGTGCGTCCACCGACACAGAAAAGAGGGGGTTGTCAGTGGGAGAATGTGGGGCATTTTTTTAATTTATTTTTTTAATTACGGTCGATGGAAAGTTGCAGAATACCTCTCCAAAGAGAACTTCCTGAAGATATTGTTGACCTGCTCCAGATCGTACGTGTCCATTCCCTCTGATTGATGGGAGGATGACGACGAGATCACAGAGTTAGGGCCATCTTCTGAGGCAAAGCAACGAAAATCAACACACACACACACACACACACACACACACACACAGAGAGAGAGAGATCAATCAAGATATTAACTTTGAAAAGATGTTTTTTAGAGCACTAACATCAAATTTATCATCTGTGTTATTTCTGAACATTACATAAAAGCACATTACCACACTCCATTTCCATGTTGTCACTATCGAAGTCAGAGAGACTACAAAGAAAACAGAAAACACTGTATTTTGTTTGCTCTCGCTTCAGGAAATGAGAAATAAATCAAATCAAATTCAATGAAAACTGGTGGGATCATAACGACCTGCAGTAAAAATAAGCGAGCTGTACCTGCGGAGCGGGAAGTCGTTTTCTTTCTCCCTCTCTCGTCTGTACAGCGATGCCTTCTCGGGAGGCTCTGGGACGATGGACATGATGCTGTCGTTACGGTAACGGAGCTGAAGTTTCAACAGGAAGAAAAACACTGAATCAGTTCAGACGACATCAGGTCAATCTCATTCATTTCAGTTAATAACAGCAGAATTCATTTCAATTAAAATGTAAAAAATAAATAAATTATTAAATTGAATAAGGGTTACTAATAAATTACATCATGAAAGTGAAATAAAAATGAAAAAAAAAATTCATAAGTTAAATTAAATATTTAATTGATTTCTAACAAACTTAAATTGAATTTAAAATTTTTATTGAATCACTTACTTTTAAACAAAAGCAATTGATTTACATTTAATTTAATTAATTTGATGAATTCAAAAATAATCCAATTTGATTTTAATCAATTAAAGTTAAGCTTCATTTAATCTGAAATAATTTTATTTCATAATAATTTCATTTATAATAATATCTATTAAATAATTTCAAAAAATTGCATTTTAATTAAATTCTAATTTAGTTTATGCATGCTAAGTTGCCCCCTCTTTACCATATTTTGCCTGCACTGCTCCACACAGGGGTACATGTTCGGTAGGGATGACGGAGCCGAGGGCAGTGGGAACGTTGGGGAAACTGGGAAACTGGGAGACGGAGGGAGAGAGTTGTTGTTGCCGTTGACGTTTGGCGTCTGGATCTCTAGGAAATCTCCGTTGACTGAAAAGTAGAGATAGATAGAGAGTTAAAGCAAACCAATCGACTGGCAAATATGCATTACAAGCTGAATCACGACGCCCTGCGTACCGGTACGATGGCTGGCATCTGAGGTGATCGGATTGTCTCTGAGCCCCGAAACCGGAGACTTACATCGGAGCTAAAGACAAAACGATGAAACAATTAATGTTGCTGCTCCTTTCTAGCCAGCTATGATGTCTCCTATGTTTATTAAACAAAAGTTGAGGGATATTAACACAGTTCAAGTTCAACCAATTACTTCCAGGTGGAAAAATGATTTAGATTTCAAACAACTTCAAAACTTAACTTGTGTGGCATGTTTTGTTTTGTTCCCACCGAACACGATTATTTCTCTTTTCAAAAAAGAAGCGAGTTGCTTTAAATATAACAGACATAAAGTACGGCTTACCCCCGCTTTAAGGTTCGGCCTGCGTTTGAGTCGTGGCTCGTCCGACGGACACTTCTCCTCGTGCGACTCATCGCTGGACCAGCATTGTTTATCCTCGGCCGCGTGAGAGATGATGGGCAACGGCATGTCCCTCGGCAAACTCTGCCAAAATAAAATACGTTTAACTTATGGTTTTAAATCACTTTCCAGCCTCCACATTTTGCTCAAGTTCATATGCAAGTTGGTGCTGGCGCTGCAGCAGAGCTAGCTGCAACAGGAAGTTAGAAAAGCAGCTGCTTTAAAAACAAAGTGACGTTTTTATCTTGGTTAGGGTTTTGTGGTAAGAGGAAACATTAAGTAGGGAACAATTATTTGGCAATATTTTATACACTGTTAGTGTTTGGGCTAGCCTATCACTAACATAAATAATTACTACTGCCCCCAATGGTGAATACGGGCAAAAACCTTTAACATTTATATCTATTATTGTTGTCACACTTAAAATCCATCTTTGATTTTGACTACATTTATATTCAATGTTAGGAAACAGTAAATATCGATACATCTTACAATTCTACAATCAGGTTGCTTTAGCTTTTTCAAACTGCTTCTTGACTGTTTTAAATTCCTGGTTATTGAGCAAAAAAGAAAAAAAAATATTTTCAAACATCACAATTTCTCCACTGAAAGATGTACAAAAACAATAGTTTGGATTTTACTACATTTTTCTGTGTCAGATTGTGCAACTGCAATAAAATACTGGAGGCTTTTTACTTATCTTTACTAATAAAACATATGTCCAGAATATTAAGATTTCTTATTATTCAATCTATACAGAAGGCAGATCAGTTAAATAGAGATAAATGACAACATTAAGTGTGTTTCCATATATACTGTGGAACACACTTATGATTGGCAGGACAGTAGATCATCAGAGGGAAACTGATGACTGTGGTGATGTGATCGTGTCTGACCTGGTCCAGGGGAATGTCCTTGGACATCCGTCGCAGGCGACTCTCTAGCGCCACCAGCTTGGCTTCCTTGCGGACGAGCTCGATGTGGAGCTCGTCGCTCTTCTCCTCCAGCTCTCTGATCTGCTTACGGTATTTGTCTTTGTCGACGAGGCTCTGAGAGAAGTGATGCTGGGCCTCGTCTCTGGCCCGAAACGCCTGCAGAAGCCAACACAGCAAAGTAAGAAAGAAAAAGTGTTGTTTTCATGCAAGGTGACCGACACGTTGAGTGTGTAGGAAGTGTAGAGTGTGTTTGACGCCGGTCACCTGGTCCCTCTCCTTCTCCACCTCATCCAGCTGAGCGGAGATGGTGTCTATGCGGTTGCGGTACATCTCGCAGTCCTTCTGCAGGGTGGAGCACTTCAGCTCCAGCTCCTCCTTCTCCTCCAAGTACTGCAAACGAAACAGACGGCACAGGCACCGTTATTTAAAGGTGTGGTAACACACATTATTTACACCAACACACAATTACTAAATGATGCTGCTGCTGCACACTGACGGCACACTTTTCCCTCACTGATTCAGTCTGAAGGACAGTTTTGTTTATAAACACTTCATATTTCATTTTATTTGTTTGTTTGTTTTTTGATATTTTGGATATTTAAAATCCAGTCCCAGTGTTAAATGTTCATTAGGATTTAAAGTTTATTAATCTTTGAGAATGTGTTGTTGCATTATTATGCCTTTACCATTATATTGCTTGAAAATTGTCTCAAAGCAATAAT